CCCCCTGGTCGGCCTCAGGGGCCAGGGTGGCGCGAGCCTAGCAGCGCGGACGCCCGTCAGGAGACACGGGAGCGGGCAAGGGAAGCGCGCCGTGCTCTGGGCGCGGCGAGGGCGGGTCGCGGCTAGGGGGCCAGCTTGCCCAGACGTCCTCCCTCCTCCCTCCCCCCTTTGCCCCTCCCACCTGCCCCCTTTGCCCCTCCCACCTGCACCCTCCTGTCTCCTCTCTCCTCTCTCCTCTCTCCGCCCTCTCCTCCTCCTCCTCCTCCTCCGCCTCTTCTTACTCTTCTTAATATTCGTATTATGAGCAGCGAACTTCTATGTATTATTCGCACTATTATTCTTATCACTCTCATCAGTATTATAACGATCGTTCGATTTGTCTTACTTTTCTTGTTATGTTTCCTCCTCCTCCTCCTCCTCCTCCTCCTCCTGATGTACGACTTCTGATTCCTGATGGCTGAAAGCGACGTCGTCCGTAGCCATCTCCTCCTCCTCCTGCCCCTGCTGCTCTTCCTGCTCCTCCTGCTCCTCCCCTAATCCTCCTGCTCCTCCTCTTCCTCCTCCTCCTCCTCCTCCTCCTCCTCCTCACTCCTACTCCGCACTCTCCGCAACTCCGCAACTCCTCACTCCCTCACTCTCACTTCTTCTCCTCCTCCTCCTCCTCCTCCTCCTCCTCCTCCTCCTCCTCCTCCTCTCTTCTCTCTCCTCCTCCTCCCCTCCTCCTTCTCCCTCCCCCTCCTCCCTCCTCCTCCTCCTCCTCCTCCTCCTCCTCCTCCTCCTCCCTCCTCCTCCTCTCGTCCTCCACCTCCTCCCCCATCCTCCTCCTCCTCCTCCTCCTTCTCCTCCTGCTCCTGCTCCTCCTCCTCCTCCTCCTCACTCCTCCTCCTCCTTCCTCCTCCTCCTCCGCCTCCTCCTCCTCCTCCTCCTCCTCCTCGCCTCCTCGTCCTCCTCCTCCTCCTCCTCCTCTCCTCCTCCGGCTCCCTGCCTCTCGTGCTCCTCCTGCCCCTCCTGCTGCTGCTCCTTCCTGCCCCCCTCCCCTTCCCATTCCTCCTCCTCCTCCTCGTCCTCCTCGTCCTCCTCGTCCTCCTCCTCGTCCTCTTCTTGCTTCTCCTCCTCCTCCTCCTCCTCCTCCTCCTCCTCCCTCCTCTTCCTCTGATTCCCCTCTCTCCTCCTCCTCCTCCTCCTCCTCCTCCTCCTCCTCCTCCTCCTCCTCCTCCTCCTCCTCCTCCATCCTTTCCATATATATATATATATACGTATAAGTTCTCCCTGTCGCGGGCTGGGCGTTTCGCCTGAGACTTCCTCGCCATTTATGACTCTGAAGCTTAAACGTCGGCAACAGTTTCACACAAGGAAGGCGGGCCGTTTTCAAACTGTGGCTCTCGCCTCAGCGCCGCGCACATTCGCTTTAAACATGTGCAAGTGTTGTAAGGATTGAGGGCGAATCGGCTTCAACATGCGGGTCTCGCCTTAGCGCCGCGCACATGTGCATTAAACATTTGCATGAGTTTCATGGATTGAGGGCGGTTTCTTTTCAACATGTGGCTCTCGCCCTAGCGCCGCGCACACTCGCTGATACAATTTGCGACAGTTTCACGGATTCCCATAGAAACTGTGCTTTGGAAGGATTCAGAATTACGAGGGTGCAACATGTACGTTGATTCGCGGAGTTGAAGTCCCAGGAATGGCATTCTGGCACGATTCAAGATCGTCAAGACGCAATACTCAGGTTGATCCGTGGCGTTGAAATCCCGGGAACTATGTTTTGGCATGCTGCAGGGGCTTCAAACAATTGTCTTCCAACGAGCCAGTTCCCTCAATGGAAATGAACCGCTGTAGGGGCCTAAGAAGAGGGAGCTTGGAGGGAGGGTTTATTCCAACATAGTTGGTGAGTCTTGGGTTTGCACTGGTCCTCCTCCTCCTCCTCCTCCTCCTCCTCCTCCTCTTGCTCCTCCTCGTCTTCCTCCTCCTTCTCCTCCTCCTCCTCCTCCTACTCCTCATCCCCCTCCTCCTCCTCCTCCCGCGGCCGGAAGCGCGGGCACGCGAGAGCCGCCGGGTAAGGAGGGCTCAGAGCAGCGAGTGGCTCCCCTTCACCGACGGCTTCAGCCTCTCCTCCACCTGGTCCCAGGGGGGAGGACGAGGATAGAAGAAGAACAAAACACATAAACATCAACTTTTGGCGCTCCGCGCGGATTTCTTGGATTCGCGCTGGACCCCCCTTCCTGGCGCGCGGAGCGAGCCAGGGGCGGCGCCGGAAGCGCCACCGGGGGGCCCAGACGCGGATCCAAGAAATTTGCGCGGAGCGCCAACAGTTTATGTTTATGTGCTTCTTTTTTCTTCGAGAGGAGAAGGGAGAACGAGCGGGGGAAGACGGACAAGTGGGAGGCGAGGAGTAGGAGGAGCAGGAGGAGGAGGAGGGCCAGGAAAATGGGGAAGGAAGAGAGTGAGGGGAAGAAAGGAAGGGTGGGGGATGAGGAATGAAAGGTGCAACGGGGGGAGGACTGTATTCTTCTGCTGATGCCCTTGAGGGTAGGCATGGCCATGAGGAGGAGGAGGAGGCGGAGGAGGAGGAGGAGGAGGTTGAGCGTGCCCAAAAGAGGAGGAGAAGGAGGAAGTAGGATGAAGGAGGAGGAAGGAGGAGGAGGAAGAGGAGGAGAAGGAGGAGGAGGAGGAGAAGGAGTATGAAGAAGGTAAGGACGAGGAGGGGGAGAAAAACGGAGGTAGCCTGATGAGCATGAGGAAGGGGACAACGATGATGCAAGCTGAGACCCTGGCACGCCCATCCTCCCTTGCGATGATGCGAAAACATATCGCCTACAGTCTGGCAACAGGAACAACAATACGGGCACATGGGTCTGCCTGCCTGGCGGGCAGTAACAACGCTGGCGTGCGAGCCAGCGCCCAACTTCAGAGGACGAGGAGAACGTGGGGGGCGGAAGGAGGAAGAGGAAGACTCGGGTAAAGGAACGAGGAAGAACCCAGGTATAGAAGAAACGAGGAGGGGAGGGGGGAGGGGAGGTGGAAGAGGGAGGGAGCATGAGGCGGGAGAGGTGGAGTAATGGCATCGATATGTTTTTGAATATGCTGCGTCTCATTGCCCTGTTCGCTCAAGATGGCTCCAACAGAGCCTCCAAGGATTCAACAGAAGAGACGAATCAAAAACTATCCTGGCGAGGGACCCGCCCATATGCAGTGGTGAGTGCCGTCGTTGTTGGTATCGCCTTCGGTGTATCGCCGTATGGGGCCACGAGGCGCGTGAAAGGTGTGCCGACATGGGGCGAGGCTACCATGCGGGCGCTGTCACTGTGGCCCGAGGTAGAGCCCCCTTTATGGGGCCACAACACGTGAGAAGCAGCAGCAGGAAGCCAAGCATCCGACGGGACGCGTAGGCATAAGAGAGCGCGGCTGGCTGCTCTTCCTTAGAAAGAAACACGCGTAGGATGCGCCGCAGAAAACTGTCGCTTCAGCACGCTTGGAGGGTGTGCCGAAATGGGGCGGGGCCGCCATGCGAACGTACTCATTGGGGCCTCAGGTGAAGCTCCTCACGGGGCACGGGCGTCACGTCCACATGCGAATGTCCCTTCCGGGGCCTCAGATGGTGCTCCCCGTGGGGCCACGACACGTTCGAGGGGTGTGTCGAACCGGACGCGACGCCCACATGCGAACGACACCCCTGGGGCCTTAGAGGAAGCTAGCTCCCAATGGGGCCCTGAAACGCGTGAGGGGCGCGCCGAAATGCGAGGGCCGGCCGCATGCAAACATGGCCACTGAGGCCTAAAAATGAGCTCCCTATGGGGCCACGGCAAGCGTGAGGGTTGCGCTAAAATAGGTGGGGCGGCGACATGCGAACATGGCCACTGGGGCCTTAAGTGGAGCTCCCTATGGGGCCACGAAACGTATGAGTTGTGTGCCAAGATGGGTGGGACGCCACATGCGAACATGGCCGCTGAGGTCTTAGGTGGACCCCCCTTATGGGACCACGAAACAAGTGAGGGGTGCGCCAACATGAGTGGTGTGGCCGCATGCGAACATGGCCTCTGGGGCCTTCGGTGGAGCTCCCTATGATGCCATAAGCGTGTGAAGGAAAAGTGTGCCGAAATGGTTTGGGGCGACTACACGCGAATATGACCACTAGGGCCTTCGGAGGAGATCCGTATGGTGCCACGACGCGCGTGAGGGGTGCGCCGAAATAGGCGGGGCGACCACATGCGAACATGGCCACTGTGGCCTTACGTGGAGCCCACGAAACGTGTGAGAGGTGTGCCGAAATGGGTGAGGCAGCCACACGCGAACATGGCCACTGGGGCCTTATGTGGAGCTCCCTATACGTCCGCATGCGAGCATTATCACTTTGGCCGAGCTCCCAAAGGAGCTACGAAGCGCGTGAGGGGTGTGCCGAAATAGGTGGGGCGGCCACATGCGAACATGGCCACTGGAGCCCTAGGCGGAGCTCCCCATGGGGGCCCTGAAGAGTGTGAGGGGTGTGCCGGAACAGGGACATGCGGAGAGCAGAAGCAAGGATGGGAGGAAGGAGGAGGGGGAGGAGGAGGAGCAGGAGCAGGAGGAGGAGGAGGAGGAGGAGGAGGAGGAGGAGGAGGAGTGACGCAGGGCGCTGTCTCCTCAAAAAGAAAATCCAACACCACAGGATGGCTGGGAACAAGCAGGGCCTCCAGTTGCTCCCCAGACGGCCCAGGACAGCCCCGCGCGGGCCCCAAGAGGGCCGAAGAGTGCCCCCACAGGCTCCCAAGGCAGTCCCAAGCGACCCACCACACGGTCGAGAAGGGCCCAGGACGGCCCAAGGCAGCACCAAGACGGCACAGGTGGCCCCAAGTCGGTGCTCGGAGCGTCGAGGCACTGAGCGCTTCGACTGAGCTGGACCAGTCGCCTGTTGCATTCGCATTTTGTTGGAGCCAGGCGCACGCCTCGCCGCCGCGCGCTTCGGTTCTAGGGGAGCGCTGCAGCACATCGGACGCATGGGAGGCAGAGTGATGAGGGGCTGGCTATGAACAGGCATCGCCCCTGAAGGAGGGCACTGGAGAGCAACGGAGGCGAGCAGCGTGGCAGCCTTGGCGAGGAAGGCCTCGATGTGTGCAGCAATCGCCTGCGTCCGCAGTTTCTTCCTCCCTCCCCTCCTCTTCATTATCCTCCTCCTCCTCCTCCTCCTCCTCCTCCTCCTCCTCCTCCTCCTCCTCCTCCTCCCCCCTCCTCCTCTCGCTCGTATTCTTGCTCGTCGTGAGGGGGAGGCATGGGACGACGAGGACGAGGACAACTAGGGAGAGGGGGAGGGCCCCCTGGCCCACAGCTTGCCGACAGAACTCACGACATCTCCGCCCTGCCGCGTACTCGACTACACCTGGACATCCCATGTTTCTGCTTTTCTCTCTCTCTCTCTCTCTGTCCTCCCCCTGCCCTCCCCCTGCCCTCCTCTCAGCGTCTTGCATCCTGCTGCCCAGGGTCAGTCGACCCCCCTCCCCTGGAAGGCAAAGGCACAACGTCCTGATTTTTTCCGGACGGCGTCCCCGCAAGTCCCGACACTTTCCCTGGTACCAGTTTTTCGTCCCGAGTCGTTTTTTGGCGGCCCAGCGAGGGCCCCCCAGGGCCGAAAATAGCCAAAAATAGCCGAGCATGTCTGGGGGCAAGCCAGCCGCGCGCTTCACCGCCCCTGCCCCTGCGCCGCCGCCCGCCGAGAGGCGCACCAAGAGGGCCTCCGCTCGGCCTCCGGACGGCCCTCTCGAGCGCCTCGGACAGCGCCCCCCGCATGCCAGGGAGCCCCCCCCCCTCAAGAGAGAGAGAGAGAGAGAGCGGCGTGCGGGGGCCCACTCCCCCGCCCCAAGGCCCCCCCCCCCCAAAGCTCGTGCCAAGGCGCCGCGCCCAACAGCCGCGGAACCCCCCCGACGTCCCCCCGGGATGGGCCCCCGTGGGGCGGCCGCCGGACCCGGGGCCCCCCCGCTCGTGCCAGGGCGCCGCCGAGGCGCCGCGGGGCCCCCGGGAGGAACTCCGGCAGGAGGCGGCCCCAGGCAGCCCCCCCGAGCAGGGTGCCCCCCCGGGAGGCCTCGCGGCAAGTCAGAGTTGTTGATGTCAAAAGGAGCTGCTCGCGTTAGGTCTGCGGGGTCTGTCGGCTCCGTCTGTCCTCGGTCCCTGGGGTGCCCGTCGTGCGCGTCGGCCACCGCCTTGGTCCGCTGCCGCCAGCTTTTGTCTCAGCCCAGGCTGTTTCAATCTGTCGGCCCTCACCTCTCTCTGCGGTTGATGTTGAAAAAAAAATCCTCCTCCTCCTCCTCCTCCACCTCCTCCCTCCCTCCCTCCCTCCTCCCTCCCCTCCCTCCCTCCCTCCCTCCCTCCCTCCCTCCCTCCCTCCACCCTGCTCCCTCCTCCTCCTCCTCCTCCCTCTCCTCCCTCCTCCTCCTCCTGCTCCACCTCCTGCTCCTCCTCCTCCTCCTCTCCTCCTCCTCCTCCTCCTGCTCCTCCTCGGCTCCTCCTCCTCCTCCTCCGCCTCCTCCTCCTCCTCCTCCTCCTCCTCCTCCTCCTCTCCTCCTCCTCCTCCTCCTCCTCCTCCTCCTCCCCCGGGAGGCATCGCGACACCCACGCAGCGCCAGCGCCGACCCAGCGCGCGGCAGCGCGAGAGGACGCGCGAAGGATGCAGGAAACATCTGGTCGGCGGCGTGGTCAGGTGGCGGCGCGCCCGACGGGGGGGCAAGCGAGAGGGAGCGGGCCTTCTCAGAGGGTTCAGAAGGCCTCAGGCCTTCTGAGAGGCCTTCCAAGCCCTCCCCGAAGGCAGAGACGGCTTTTCAGAAGGCCGGAGGGCTTCTGAGAAGCCCCGCCGTCCTCTGAGAAGGCCCGCGCCCTCTCACGTCCCCCCTGTGCGCGCTACCGAGTCAAGGGAGCATGGGGCCAGCGTGGGAAACGATCTCTTCACAAATCCCTCGCTCCCAACCCTGTCTTTCGACCGCGTCGAAATCTGGCCTCGCCTGTGTACGTTCGTGTGGTGCAGTATGCTATCGGATACACTCTCGCTTGACACCGCATTGTTTTGCTCATATTATGGTTCCATTCGATGATAGGTTTCACTTTTTCTGGAGATTCGGCCTGCTGACATGTTCTAGTGTGAGTTCGAATTCACTTGGCACTCACGTTTCACAATGATTCGGGTGTTTCTGTGTTGCCGTATGATATTGTTCGTAAGGCATGCCCACTCCAAGCGACCTATGATCTCTACATGTGATGGTACGTGGTATATCGAACAGCACTGCGGCATCACTGCAGCAGCGTTATTCTATGGATAACCACGCTGCGTTACCTCATGGTGCACGGCCTTATGTTCGGTTTTGACGATGTGGACCACAGCGATGGGATGCAATATAATAATTACGCCATGCTGCACATTATTGGTCGAAGTCTCGCTGGACTTCACAAATGGGCATATCTATCATACCACGATCGGCCACACCACAATATAGCACAAAAGCTTAACATACAAACTGTTGCGCCCTGTGGCCGCATGCGATCGTAGCACCCTTGAGATTGGACTGGAGCGTAAAGGAGAGTTGGACCCTCCGTCTCCTCCTCCTCCTCCTCCTCCTCCTTCTCCTCCTCCTCTAGCTCCTGCTCCATCAACTTCCTCCAACCTCCTCCTCCTCCTCCTTCTTCTTCTCCCCCTCCCCCCTCGAGGAAAAGCGGCGTACCAATAACAGCACGAATGCCAATATTCATAATACGATCATCCATACTAACAAACGAACACTACGAATCATAATGCTACCAATCGTCGCAATCGTAATACAAGTCGTTATACTACTCCGAATGCGATGAACAAAGTGATAACATTGAGAGCAGTAGTAGTAGTCGTCGTAGTAGTAGTAGTAGTAATAGTAATAGTAGTAGTAGTAGTAGTAGTAGTAGTAGTAGTAGTAGTAGTAGTAGTAGTAGTAGTAGTAGTAGTAGTAAGTGTAGTAGTAATCGTAGTCGAAATTTTAGTGGTGGTAGTAGTAGTAGTAGTAGTAGTAGTAGTAGTAGTAGTAGTAGTACAAGTAGCAGTAGCAGTAGTAGTAGTAGTAGTAAATATAGCAGTAGTACTAGTGGTAGTAGTAGTAGTAGTAGTAGTAGTAGTAGCGGTACTAGTAGTAGTAGTGGTGGTAGTAGTAGTAGTAGTAGTAGCAGTAGCAGTAGTAGTACTAGTACCAGTAGTCGTAGTAGTAGTAGTAGTAGCAGCAGCAGCATAGTCTTCGTAGTAATACTAGTAAGTAGTAGTAGTATTAAGTAGTAG